TTTCTATATCACAAAATATTTATGAGGAAAAAAAAATCGACCGACGATCCACCTGCTTCAGATTTCATGTTTCCCTGCGATTTTGAAGCAATCAAAATCCGTCTCTGCGATTTTGAAGCCATCAATATCCCTCTTATCTGCGACCCACCCGCGAAGCTCGGATTTCTTGTGTCCCTGCGACCCACCCTCGAAGCTCGCATTTTGAAGAACCCTAGTTCCGAATCAATATGCGATTTTCGGATTTAGAAGAACCCTAGTTCCAGAACCGTATTTTCGACTCAAGCTGCGATTTTTGGCTCAAGATCGGATTTCTTTCTTATCTGCTAGTAAATTTCGTCGACCATGTTTTTTCTTTGCGTTTGGTGAGCGAATTGTATCTCTCTCTCCGTCTCGTTTTTAACTGTTGGTTTGCAAGAAATTGTGGGTTCGCTAGAAATTTGTTGAATTTGGGCTTGAAATTTGTGGGTTCTGCTGCATAATCTGGTCATGTTTCTTTTGGTTGGCTAAGTGTTGTAATTGATTTGTTTTGTATCATAATTTGCTGATGTAAATCTATCAGTGAAACTGTAGTTTGACGGTATAACTTCACTTTAATTACAACAAATCACAGCAACTCACTTTTGATTACAGCAAATTTATGTGTTACAAAATTGTTCTTCTTCAAAATCGGACGGGCGAGCTCTGAGGGGTTGAAGATGAAATGAAATGAAATGAGTTAATTGCCAAAAAAAGGGTGCGTTAATGAGTTGTACTTTTTTTTGATGTGGTATCCTATGTGTAGCTGATGTGGTTTCAAACTTAAAATGTTGACTGCCACGTGCTACTAAACTGGTGCCAACACATATATCCGGTTGTCCATGTCAGCTCATATGGCCGGAACAAAATATTGAGACTCAATTGCAACAAATTATAAAGGTTATGATTTTATCTGCAAATTTGACAAAGTTGAGTTTTTTTCGCAGTTGAGTTAAAGGTTGGGGTTTTTTTGGCAATTAACTCCTCTTCTTATACTTGCAATTAAAGTAGTCACGTAATTTTTAATTACAATAATTTTAAAATCCTAATTGGACCCGGCTTAGAACAATATTGAAATCTAGTATATATGAAAGGGGATTTAAAAGAAGGGACGGATACGCTGCTATGGGTTTCTTCTCGACCTTCTACACTCAACTCGCCAATCTCATGACCAAGACAACTCCCGCCTTGGACGCCGAGGATGATGATGATGGTGATGATATTAACCCCTCACCCGCGGCGCCGCTCGATAGCCAGCCACCCGCGGCGCCGCCCGACCGCCACTCATCCGCGGTGCCGCCGCCGCTCGACCTCAATTTGTTGCTCGACAAAAGCGACGAGCTCATGCTCGTGGTGCAGACTCTTCGCAACGGGTCCTCCTTTTATTCTCTAGTCTCTACCAAACACGACTCGTTCAAAGTAGTAGTAAAAGATGATATGTCCAGCTTGTCGGCTCTAATCAAATCTCAAAACTGCAATCCCGAGCTGTATGCGGAACCCTACGATTATCAGGTTTTAACTTCCTGCAACCCATGGATATTGGTGACATGTGGAGAGATTGATACGCGTGGAGAGATTGATGATACGGGTTTAGAGTTTCTGTGGAACCCTTTTACCAACAAGATCAAAACGCTTCCCCCTTTCACGTCCGAGCCTCCCCTGCCTTCCCGACTCGACTCGTGCATCAGTTTTTACGGAATGGGGATCGATCCTTCATCGGGGGACTATAAAATTGTTAGGGCTCGTGCGTTTGGTTATACGGATGAGGATCCTGATGATGAGGTGAAAGTCCAGGCTGAGCTGTTATCGCTCCAAACTGGTTTGTGGAAGGAAATTCCTTATCCTTATCAACCCGAAATGCCAGTCTGTCCTTGTCCTGTTCACATAAATGGATTTTGTTATTGGACAGCTTCGGATATGTTTTCGGGAGAACTGTCTATCTGTTCGTTCGACTTTGCTAAGCAGAAGTTTTCCCCTGAACTCATTCACATGCCCGAGAGCGATAGGATTGTGGACATGTGCATTGTTTCTCTTGCTGAGTTTAGCGGGTCACTGGCTGTTGTTGCTTACGATGATAAGCTGCGTAGTCTTGTTGAAGGCAAACCTGTAAATAGAGAGACTTCTGATATCGAGGTTTGGGTTTGGAACAATGGCAGCTGGTCTAAGGAGCACTCGTGCACTATCCCTGCCGAAGTTTTTGGGGTATCGTGCCTCTTCAGGAAGAATAAATTGCTTCTCGTGGAATCCAAGGGCGAGCTACTGCTTTATGATTGTGGGACGAACGATTTGGTCAATCTCTGTTCCAGCGATGATAATTTGTGTGTGGAGATGTTCCCCCTTTTCGAGAGCTAATCTATATGACGATATAATGTATATATATCAGTGTTATGTTACCTCGAGTCGTGTGCTGCTATGTAAAGTCCATTAGCCTTTTGTTGAACTGCTTCGGCACGATTGCTTGTTTGACATTTCTTTTATTGCAATGACATATGTTCTCAATTCACCGTTTTTTTCTTTGCTTATAGATCAACCTTCTTTTCTTATAGTGATCACATTGTTCTCTATGTGTAATGCACGTTGAAGCACTCCATCCCCATGTTAATATGCTGCCATGACATGAGCTTATGTACACACACACACACACACACACACACATTGCGTTAAAATCATGTTTAGAATGACTCATCCATATTACCCCTTCGTTCGTCATGACCGATTAATGTCTTTGGTGGTAACCGCTTAGTTAACCCATCTGCTGCCACAAAATTTGTTGTTTTAATATGCCCTATAGACACTCAATGTTTTTGCACAACATTCGAGTACTTCAATTTCACGTGTTTAGCACCGTTAGAGTACTTGTGGTCTTCTGATTAGAAAGCAGCTGCAGAATGAAAAGTTTTATAACCACCTGGCTCCTAATATTACAACACAGGTACTGTGTTTCTTATGTTTTAAATTTTAGCAGCCGCATTCATATCTAAATTTACCTGGAAATGTTCCCTCTTTATATTATATATGCAAGATGTCTTATCTAAATTTTAATCAAGAATTGCTCTTATTCAACTCATACCATTATCAGAACTAGAACTTTAAACTCTCATTTATTTGTATGTTGATTCAAAGACCAATGGTGATTGTATATGGTTTTTGATAGGATTTTGAGATCTCACATACTTTCGGTACTTCATAGATTGGAATTATTCTAACTTAATATTCTTTATGTGGTAAAAAACTAAAATATGAGATTTTGGTCCTTCGGCCTTTTTTTTTTTTTAAATTATTATTTGAAAAAGGTTGCCTATAGTTCACAAGCCTTTTTGTATCATTAACTTTTCAGGTTGTAAATGCAAAGTAGTACAGATCACACAGTTATTAAGTGCTCTAGATGCTCGTGTGGGACGTCACGTAAGCCTTCAAACATAAATACGTGCCTTCATTATATTTTGATTATTGTTTTAGAAGCTGAACCTCTGATACTTTCTACTGTACATACATATATCTATGCAGGAAGTTATGTTTCTATTTTGGAGAAACACACATGTATTTACTAATTGGAAAATTAATATAACCATGATTTTTTTATTTTTTTTGAGCAAAGTTGATGGTAAGAGTGAACTTTTTATTTCTCTGTCGGTGTTTATTAGTAATGTATCTCTTTCTGGTTGATTAAGAAAAGCTTATGGTGATTGTGCATTCTTTATGAAAAAAAACTTCATGGTGTTCTCTGTTCCTACTTATATACGTTGACAATGCGGTTGGTGCTCAAGCTTTGACTTTTGTTTGCACCGCAGTCAAATTTCACAACTTTCAATGAAAGAAGTGAGTGATAGCAGCAGGAGAGTCGATAGGCATTGTGATGGAGGACCTATTCTTTCTGCAGATTCAGATGGAATGAAGCGATCATCGTTTCCTCAAATGAAGTTAGAGTCGGGTAACTCCAAATGCTACAAGCTTAACTGATTGATAGTCTGTTACTTGTATAACTTCAAACCCAAGGTTACTGTTGAGAACCTAAGCCTATTTTTGAGAACTAAAATGAGGTACACTTAAGTTTTGTGGAGAACATGGGTTTGATTTCAATAAGTAAAACCGATCACCCTTTTTTCTATTCCTGGCACGTACTATTACATTCAATCTTGATCCATTCAATGAACACAACGATGCTTCCCCTTGCGAGGCTTTTTATTAAAGAAAAAAAAGATGCTGGTAAATTGCAGCAACAAACATTTATGGAAGCATTAAGTACATATTAAACGAGGCATTTGGATCGGACAAATGTTTCTTTTGTGTATTTATATATGTGGGAATTTTCAAACTTAATCTTGTATGCTTCTTGTTTCAAAACTAGTCCCACTCAAATTCACTTAATCAATATATTCCCCTAAATTTTGAAACATTTTCGACCGAATGTCAACATTATCAGCATAAGTCATAAAACGAAAATATGACAGAGGATTTAGGATGGAGCTTTTGACGGACGCCACTTCTTATGAACCATGCACATTTTTATTACAAAACAAGCAATATCCAAGCAACTGTCTATTTGTAGGCCTAACGACAATCGACCAAGTACCAAGCATGCCTCACTGTCTAGATGCCACTAGATATATAAACAAGGATCATCTTGTGTATGAAACATTTTAATAGCTGTTCATATCTTTACGTTGTGGAAAAACAAGACTCAGAAGAGGGAAAAGAAAACGGAAAGAAAAAAGATCTACAGGTTAAGTAGCTGTTGTTTGGCTTCAATTGAGCTGCTGCTAGCCCACAGCCGAAAATGAAGAACCAAAAAGGGGGGCGGGAAACATCAGCTTAGCTCACTGTACAACCCAAAAAAAAAAAAAAATAAAAGTCAATTGAAATAGTTGTACCTTTGTCAGCAGCGCCATCTTTGCAGGCTCAATAATCTTCCAGCTGCATCATATACAAAAGCTACATTTTCACCTACACAATAGAATTTACACTCAGTCCCAGTAAAATCAATTTTACATTCCCTTGGCTTTTTCACCCACTTCTGTAGATTCTGAAGGTTTTGCACCCAATTCCACCTCTTTCGAAGCAGGTGGCCCTCCAATGTCACTCTCCAAACTATCCTCTGCTCCCGGTTTAGGTGGTCCAACAGACCCCGGTTCACCTGATTTCCCTGGTACCTCCTCATCTGCCAGAGGTACAACCTCCTGAACTGGACTAGCTGTGTTAGTCGTAGTAGAGTTTGAGGCAGAAAGGAATTCAATTGAATGAGAGCTCTCACTCCACTCGACCGACTCGGGTGGCTTGTCGGAGGGCTTCTGTTCGGGAGTCTCAGATGTGGCAGTGTCTGCTAAATCCTCGACTTCCTCAACTGCCACGTCAGCTTCTTTAGTGACATCATGGGAACCGCCGTCAGGTGACAACGAGGCATTTGGATCGGACAAATGCTTGCCAGCAGCATTTTTGTCGTCCTCAAATGCAAACCAATTGGAATTTGTAAAGAGAGATCCACTGTGAACACGACGAACACAAGAAGAAAAAGATCATGCAGTGCTTATAGTTAAATATATAGAAACAAACAAACAAACAAACAAAAAGCTTTTAATGAATATGAATGGCAACAATGGACAAAGAAAACACACTAACCTTTCTTGGTCGTCGCCCAAACGAAGGGAAGAAATAACTACTTCGGCGGATTCATCATCAAAGTAAACATCCTGGAAAAAGTCATTGAAGGAACTTATTATAAGCAAATTTTGTCTGGCATAATCTGATTCTATATAAAAACGTAACAGGATAAGAGGAATCTAATATGAAATATGATGATAGTCTGTGTAATGCTTATACCTCATCACCACGCTCAAGAGAACCATGAGCCTGAAAAGAAAATTTTGATTAAATGTAACAACAAATGAACACTTAACTAATACAGGTCAAAGGCTGTATCTTTATTCTATTCCACCTCCAATCAACTTCTCCTATAACACCCAAAAAAAAAAAAAAA